GTTTTCCAGCTTTTTTGATCAAGTTTATTGCTCTACCACTTGAGCCACAGCTACACTTCCAGCTTTTGGGTGGTTACTTGAAGATCGAAATCTTATAAACTATTCTGCTCAGGCTAGAGTGGAACCTCGATTCTCAGATCTCAGCTTCCTGAGTAGCTAGGATTATAGGTGTGAGCCACCTTTTTCCTTTATACACGTAGAGAAACACATAATTTTTGCGTTAGCCGCTACATGTAACTGGAAAAACTCCAAAGAAGAAATTGTACTAAATCTGTCCATAACTTTGCTGTCTGTAGTTGTTTCTCTCTGCTGGTATTCCAAGAATCCTTCTTTGATTACACCCTCTCTATTTAGAGAACTTCATTTAGCCTTTCCTTCATGGTAGGTCTGCTAAGGACAAATATCTTTTAACTTTGGACTATTTGTGTTGCATAACTTGTTTCATCTTAAAGTCCACTAACTCTTTGCTCTGTCCTCTCCATTCTTCTGCTGAACCTGTATGTTGATTTTTTAAAAAAAAATTTCACTGGTGCATTTTTACTTCTATAGTTTCCGTATGGCTTTATTCTTTTTACTATATCTATGACTATGCTGGCATTTTTGCATTTTTGCATTTATTTCAAATGTATTACTAATTGCTCATTAAAGCATTGTTTTTTAGTTGCTTTAATATTCTTGTAAGATAATTACTATGTCATCCTCGTGTTGTTTTTGGATGGTATTTGCTCATTTATTTTGAGATTGGCCTGCTTCTTAATGAATGATTTTCAAGTAAAGTCTACCCATGGGGGGCATATGTGAGTCTGATTCTCATTTTGACCATCTATTAGAGCAAGCTTCTTCTGACAACTGTCCCCACAGTCCAGAGGGAACAATGACTCCATTCCACCTAGGATGGGGACAAAGCTCAATTTCCTACTTGGCCTCTGCATGGAGACAAAACTTCTGTCCCCATTTGGCTTTTTCTGACAGCAATCCAGAGGAAGTTCAAGTGCCTCTCTGCAAACCAAGCAGGCAAAGATAGAGGTCTAACCTTCCCAAGTGGTCATTGCTAGCATGGATGGGAGTTGGACTGATTTTTTTTCTGTAAAATTTGGCTGAAGTACAGAGGTTATTATCTAAAAGTTCTCTCTGTTGTTAAGCTGTCCCTCTCCAAGCCCTTTGGCTAGAGACAGGATGCTTTTATGGGGAGATTTATTTTTGTATGCAATAACTGATATTTTTAGAATGTTACTGGCTACAGTAACTAGTCTGGGGGATATGAGACAAAAATATAACCCAGATGATTTGTGACAATATCATCAATTGGGTCTCAATGTTTCTAGTCAGTCTGCTATATTTTCTCTGTATTTCACTCTTCTTTTGTTTCTTTTAGATGTAATAGCCAATTTTTAACTGTATACAGGGGAAGAATAAGAAAAAATGTCTATTTTAGTATTCTGGAAGTAAATATCTTTCTTCATTATTTATTTATTTATTTATTTTTCATGTATTTATATACTGGGGTTTGAACTTGTACTTGTTAGGCCACTTAGGCCATGCTTCCAGTCCTGTTTATTAGTTATTCTCGAGATAGGGTCTTACTTTCCATTCTGGGAAACACATCTACCATGAGACACCTACTTGAGAAGAGCCATCACTATAGGGATGATAAGTGAGCACCTCTGGGTTCATCTTCCTTCCTTGGAGAAGGATTCTTTTTTTAATTCCCCCCTCCACCCTTCCACCCCCCCCCCCCAGCCTCCCCCACGCCAAAGTTGTAAAGTTCATTTTTCAACATAATGTCTTGTACATCTCATTGTTGCAATGGGTCCACCTGTATCCCTATTTAAACAAGTTTTTTCCCTTCCCCTCCACAAATTATACCAACATTAAATACAGTGAAAACAGGGGTTATACTGGGGGGGAGAGACATACAAAGCAACAAAGAAATCATCTTATAAATATGTTAGAAACAATAGCAAGAAAGAAAAACCATTTTTACAGCTACATAGTACTCCATTTCGTAAATGTACCACAATTAATGCACCTAGTCATCTATGCATAGGTATTTAGGTTGCTTACAGTATTTAGCAATCACAAATAATGTTGCAATATTTTTGGTAAAATAGAAATAAACTTTAATTTTAAAAAGTCTTATTTATGCCCCCAGTGATCTAATTTGCTGCTTTACTTAAATATGGAAGTTCAACCCTTCTTTTTCAGATTAGATCCTCACTTAGTCTCACCTATGTCACTAAATAACAAAGTAATCCTTCTAATTGCTCAAATCAAAAACAAAAAAGCCCTATTTTTCTTCCACATATCACATATGATTTGTCAGCAAATTTATTGGCTCTGCTTTTAGAATATATTTAGGATCTACATTTAGGCTGCCTCATGCTTGAAATCCTAGTTACTCAGGAGGCCAAGACTTGAGGATTGAAATTCAAAGCCAGTCTGGGCTAGAAAGTTTGTAAAACCATTATCTGCAATTAACTAGCAAAAAGCCAAAAGTGGAACTCTGGCTCAAGCCTTGAGAGAGAAAGCCAAGTGAAACTGTGAAGTCCTAAGTTCAAATCTCAGTACCAGCACACACACACACACACACACACACACACACACACACACACACACACACACACACACACAATGGTTTTGATAGAGCATAACCACATCTGCTTGTCCATGTGCTGTCTGTGGTTAAAATGATTACTACATGGTTGCTTCAGAAAAAGTTCAGTGATTCCTGCTTTAGCTCCATACAACCAGTAACTGCATATCTTCTAGAAATTTCAAGACTGAGCTTATTTTCATATCCCCAAAATATTCCCATTCCATATTTCTTACATTACCAATTCCATACATTCCTTTAGCCAAATAAGATGTCCAGCATTCAGAAATGTCCCTCCACTATGTCTTTCACTTGTGTTGTTGTCACCCTGGACACCTAGCTCACACTACTTAGTTCTTGCTCAGATAACAGCATCAACTCTCGTTTTCTGTGATCCATCCTTTAGTGTAAGCAATATAACATCTTCTGAATGTAAATCTGACTAAAGTACTACTTTACTTTTAAACAACATTATTCTGGCACCTGATTCACACTGGGCCATCAGGTTGAAATTTGATTTTCCTGATTTCTTTTTGGCTACCTTCAGCATCCATAGTGGTTCATTTTTAAGTGTCAACCTGACTGCATAACAGAATACCTAGAGGCATTCTTTTGGAGGGGGGTATGTGTGTGTGTGTGTGTGTGTGTGTGTGTGTGTGTGTGTGTGTGAGTGTGTGTTTTCAGGTGTGTGTGTGTGTGTGTGTGTGTGTGTGTGTGTGTGTGTGTTGTGTTTCCAGAAGAGGTTGAATGCAACTCTGGGCAGAAAAGGTGATAGAGATCTGCCCTCAGTGGGCAGGAACCATCTAATCAGCTGGGACCAATTTGTCTCTCACAGCTGGAGAAGAGTTTGCTTCTGCTGCACCGGCCATCAGGACTCCTGACTCACTATCTTTTGGAGTCCAGGACCACACCAAGGTGTCACCCCATTTAGACTCACTCCATTCTCAAGCTTTCTGCCTCAGACAAGTTACAGCATTGACTTCTCTAATTCTGAGGCCTCTAGACTTGACTAGACTAATGGCACCACACTACTAGTATTCCAGGCTCTTCAGTCTGTAGCTGGCCTCTCCTGGAACATTACAGCTGCCATTATGCAGCAAGCCAATTCCCTTAAACTTAAGTCCTTTCTCATCCTCCCCCTCCCTTCTTCTCTCTCTCCCTCATTCTCTCTCCCTTTCTCTCTCTCCCTCTGTCTCTGCCTTTCTTCCTCTCTACTATTGTTTCTGTCTCTCTACAAAACTCTAATATAATTACTAATAGAAGTCATACTTCTTTACAATTATCTTTATTAATAATCCCAAAGTACCATGTATACACACAACAATATCATTGGATCAAAAATGACTGGCAGATTCCAGAAGTACTTTGACTCTTCACTAGGTTAAATTGGATTTAAATCTCAGTACTTATTAAAATTTTTGAATTGAAGCCAAGTACTGGTGGCTCAAGCCTGTAATTGTAGCTGCTCAATGTAAGGTCTGCCCCAGACCTGTGCAGATGCCTCCCTACCTCTTGGCTAAGTATCTGTTACCTAGGTAACTGGCACATCTGGAAGCAGTCACCTCCTCCTCCAAGGTCACATCCTGGGCCACCCTCAGTCACACCTCCCATCAGACAAGAGGAGACCATTTGGATCCAGTGTGGCCATACCTTTCCCCACCTGGCTACACCTCTTCAGGTCCCTGGCCTAGATAAGTCCTGGCCCAGGGATGGTTTGCCCCTTTCGCCCTTGCCTCTCCACCACGCATGGTGAGGGCAGCAATTCGGTAAATAAACTTCTTTTCCTGCCTGAATACCACATGATATTCTCTTCATCGGCTACCTAATGAAACCTACCTATTTAATATACCTTATAGTGAGGAAACTGAGATCTGAGGATTGTGGTTTTAAGCCACCTTGGGCAGGAAAGTCCATGAAAATCTTATCTCCAATTAACCTCCCAAAAGCTGGTAGTGGAGCTGTGGTTCAAGTGGTAGTTCACCAGCCTTAACAGGAAAAGCCAACCAAGAATGTGAGACCCAGTACCACCACACACAAAAAAGGAAAAGGACAGATAAACCTTTTCTCCCCTAAAGTTTCATTATAAGTACAGCACTTTTCCATATATCATTTTCCTCTGCTTGCATGGCTGTCTCCATACTACATTGCTAGCTCCTTAAAAGCATACAATGACTTCTTCTGTAGTGTCTCCAACATTTACCATTGTGCCTGCTAATAAAATAGATGTTCAAGCAATAACTGCTTAATGTATGAAATTCCAAGGATCAGAATTACTCTTAAATATCCTGGTGTTTAAATGGGATATTTTTTCATGATCAACTTGAGCCAAAGAAGAAGCCATAATCTCAAAGACAGCAGGCAAGTATGAACTGTTTGGAGAGTAGTGGCAAAAGCAGGAAATACATACCTTGCCAAAGTGCTCAATTAGGATTTCCACCACAATGTTCTGAAATTTGATGTTCATCATAGCAGCCACAGTGTCCTCCTGAGCTCTCATCAAAGTGGGCCCAAAGATCACCCCCATGTTGGAAGGGGTCATGAGATTTTCTTTGCTGTGTTCACACACACTGCCAAATGAGAAAGAAAAGATTAATCAGATTTGCATCCAGATTGTAACCAATACTGTTAGGCACTGAGGCAGGCAAGAAAATCTAAAAACTGGAAGGAAAGGGAAGAATATAGAGAAAGAAAAGCTGGGGCTGGGGGTTTAGCCCATCGGAAGGGTGCCTGCCCGGTGTGTGCAAGGCCCTGGGTTCGGTCCTCAGCCCTGGGGAAAAAAAAGAAATTAAAGAAAAGCTTACAGTGGAAATACCTAGCAAAAATCTCAAGGAAATACAACCTTAGAAGCCAAAGTGACATGTAGTAAACTTACCTAGAGACTGGAAAAGGCCGGTAGGGATTAGGGAAAAACAAAAGGGCAACCAGAGGGCATTCTAAGTAAGAGAAAGGGCTCATCCAAAAGATGGCTCAGCACAAGGAGAGAATGAGGCTCCTTCTCCACTCTACCCTGCTAGGTAGGCCTGGGAGAACAGCCCTTCCCCCCTTCCTCCTCACCTGCCAGTAATCACCTGACTCAATCACCTGACCTTCAGCCAGGAAAGGATCCCAGGCTCCGAGGTTACTTCCTCATCTGTTGAGGTCATTTCCTAAACTGCCTTGGTCATGCCTCCCTTGGACAGTGAGAGGTTCCCCAGGCTCTGAGATCACTTCTGCATCCGCTGTGGTCCTGCCTCCTGCCTTTTTCTACATAATCCATCTCAACACAAGTCCCCTCCACTTTTTCCCTTTTTCTTTCTCTTCAATCTCATACCGGCAATTTGCTCTCCCCCAGAATAAGCTCCTCTCTGCCTGAGATATGTAGCAGTTTCCTATCCAGGGAACCTTATACACACCCAGCCCCTCACCCACGCCCCAATAGGAGAAGGAACTGTGAAAGAGCAGAAGGGGTCCAAAAGATCTTCCCTTTATTATCTTCTTCCTTTCACAGATGAAAACAACAAACAAAGGACAGGGACCTACTTGAAGTTACTTTCAATTAGCTGAAGAACAAATTCTGTAATCTCAGGTTGTCTGATCCCTAGTGGCTCTCCTGGCTGAAATTCTCTTTAGTGGCAGAAAATTCTCTTTAGTGTCTGATTGTCACTTGCAGGATAAGAATGCTCTTCGACAGGGCAGTTCAGGCCTTCTGTAACCTACCTTCTTTTTCTAATCCTTATGTACAGTCTGGGCTTTGACAGTGATCTGGATTCAAATCCTAACACTGCCACTTAGCAGCTGTGCAACTAGGGAGTGTTAAGTCCCTCTCACTTAAACTGAGCTTCAGTTGTCTCACTTGTGTAAATAATAGCTCCTCCAGAGAGATGTCGAATAGAGCTAACTTCCTGATACTCTGGAAATTAAATACCTCCCCAAAGTCCTCCATTCTAGGCACTACTGACATATGCGCTGCTTTAGAACAAGGTTTTCTGTCTCAGCCAGACCTCCATATCTGAACAGACCTCTGGGATGTCCTACTCCCCTGCCCTCCATGGGAAGAATATCTATTTATCCTTGGAGATTCACATGAATTGACATCTTCAGGGAAACCACAGTCCACTGTCCTCATCTTAATTGACACCACTGGCAAGCCAAGTACAAGTGCAATTTTCCACTAGGTAGGAAACAACTTTCAAGTGGGTTCCTGACAGACAGCAGGTACTAATTAATTATGTACAAAGGAATTGAACTCTTCTAATGCTCTTTGAAAACAGTACTGGAGGCAGCCAAGAGCAAGGCATGTACTCTTTGGTCAGTTGGACCGTGAGGGGTAGAGAAGGAGGCCAGCTGCCCACTCAAAACATTCATTTTTCAAATACACCAGGCCAAGGCCTTCAAGAGACTAACACATCAAAATGCAAGTTCTTGACACTAAGTGGATAATTAAGGAGGGGACAGAATCCTTAGAGAAATCTTAATAAACTTGGTCAATCCCTTGACAAAGGCTGGGTGCCATTCAGATGGTAATGAGCTGTAATCATTCAAACTCTTAGTTGTGGCAAGGCTGCAGCAGTGTACCTCCCAACACTTTAAATACCTCTGCAATTAATCTTTATTTCTTCTCCTGACATATCCCCCCCAACCCAACCCCCCGACCCTGCCCTGCTATTGAAATGGAAAAGTGTCAATGTGCTGCCACCCAGTGATATGGGATGGGGGAACCATCACTGACAAAAAAAAAAAAAGGGCACTGGTTCATCTCTTTGTGGGTGCATCTGAGAAGTCAGGGTTTTTTTCTAGTCTGTCAGGCGTTCACAGGATCTTCCCAAGGACAAAAAGCACCCACAGTGAAACCCTTTTGTAAGTCTGTTTATGAATATATGGCAGGACAGGGGTGCACACAAATATTTGATTGTCTCCAAGTCATACAGTCATCCCATCTCATCTTACCACTTCTTTACCTGGTTCCTCTTTTCAAACCAAAGTTTCATGGAAATGGAGGTGGGGCGCCTGTACTGGGGCTTGAACTCAGGGTCTGAGTGCTTTCCCATAGCTTTTTTTGCTCAAAGTTGTCTGAAGCTCCACTTCAGACGTTTTGCCAGTTAATTGATTCTCATAAACTTTCTTGCCATGATCCTCATATCTCAGCCTGAGCAGCTAGGATTACAGCCATGAGCAACCAGCTCTTATGTGAGCCACTTTAAGCTAAAGCTATGCTGTAATTCTCTGGGAAGGTTCCTGATATTTTATTTAGGAAATTTCCCCCTTGATCTCCTAATGAGACTTGGGGAGATTTTTTTGTATCTCACATCATAATACTTTTTTGCATGTGGTGGTTGGAATCAAACCCAGGACTTCATACTAAATAATAATCACTCTACCACTGAGCTACAGTCCCACTCCTACACATTATTTTTTTTATTTCTTGCAACTGGCAAGAGGTTAAAATAATAAACAAAGCTTTTGACTAACACATAACTCATTCTTTTCAACCATATGTTAGTCCAATCATGAAAATCAACCCTAAAGAAATTATTGGAAAATTTCACCAAAGAGAAATCATGACTATAGGTTATATTTGCTGATCACAACAATAAAATGAAAGATTGATACCTGATGAGAATGTGTGTATGCACATACTCATAAATTATCATCCTGAAGTAAATGTATATAAGGTTTGTTAGAAGGAATACAATAATGGATAAGGTGGGAAGAAGGAAAGGAAGGAAGGAAGGAAGGAAGGAAGGAAGGAAGGAAGGAAGGAAGGAAGGAAGGAAGGAAGGAAGGAAGGAAGGAAGGAAGGAAGGAAGGAAAGAAGGAAGGAAGGAAGGAAAGAAGGAAAGCAGACAAGACTAAAACAGAAGCATCAAACCAGGTGTGGTCCAAAATGTATTTGAAATGAAAAGTAGCTTGAAGAGCAATGGTGCATGTGACACAAAAACACAGAAATTATAAAATCTATTTCTTCCCCATCTATCTATACACACACACACACACACACACACACAAAATGTAATGCAAATAGGAAAGTCTTTGAATGCTATATCAATGTGATACCTCCAGGGAGGGGCTGGCAGTAAAGGGGTTTGTTTAAGGAAGACTGTTCTCACTAATTGTACTATGATACATTCTGTTTTACTTTTTAGAAGTTTCTTCTATTGTTATAATTCTTCATATATAATTGAAAAAATTAGTGAGATTCACTATGCTACATCAATTATGCACGGATCATTTCAATCCACGTTCTTACTCTTGCCCCTTCCTCCATTTTCCTCCTTCCCCCAAACTCCCTTTCCAGTTCTTAGCAAATCCTCTTCTACCTTTAGATAATCTTTTTTTAAGTGTTCACATATGAGAGAAGTCATGAGATACTTGTGTTTCTGATTCTGACTTATTTCACTTAACATAATGCAGTGACATCAATTCAGTCTTCTTTGTGGCTAAATTATATATACTGTTTTTTTAAAAAATCTGTTAATGAGCACCTAGGCTAATTCCTTAGCTTGCATATTGTAAATAAACATGGATATAAATATTGACATGCAATAAACATGGATATGGAGTTATCTCTATTGTATGCTGACTCCAGTTCCTATGGGTATTTGCCCTGAAGTGGGAGAGTTGGAACACATAGTGTTTCTATTTTGGGTGGAGGGGGTTGAAGAACCTCAATGCTGCTTTCCACTATACTCCCTTTTCTCAGCACCCTGGCCAGCATTTGATATTTTGTTTCGTGTTTGGTTGTTTGGTTTTAATAATACCCATTCTAATTTGGGAGTGGAAGTATATCAGTGTTGCCTTATTATAAATTCTATAAAGCCATGAAAAGGCAAAGTCACACTTCACGTTGTAAGCTAACAGAATGAATGACACAAAAAACAAGGACAGAGTGAACAGTGAGTTATGTTAGAGTTAGGTTGCTGTGATATAATCTGACAAGAAAGGAATCTTAAATTCTCTAGTACACAGGGACATCAAGAGAAAAATTTACAACAAAGGAATGGGTAGCCAAGAAAGGTTATAAACAGTCTCCAATGCAGGAGAAAGTAATTCTGTTCACATAGTTTAGATTAGAGGCAAAAAATTAAAGTGTCCATAGGGGCAAGGAGGTAACTTAAATGAAGGTTGTGGGTATGATGGGAAGTATCAGTTGCAATGAGACACCCAGACTTTATCTAGTCTACAACTACCCATTACACCCTTAGCCATGCACCACGCATACTCATTTAGACTTGTAACAAATAAACTAGATATTTCCTATGTCATATCTAATCTAACGATAATATACTATTTGTCAAAACATTTGGGAGTATTAGGGGATATGGTCATTCCATAAGAAGAGAGCACTTTTCAACTCCAGCTAGTCGTATCTATGTGGGCCTGCACGTCCAACATCTGATCAGGTTCTGAAATCTATACTTTGATGAAAACAACTTGAACTTTAAGAGTATTTTGAGCTCAGCCATTTTTGTATGTCTGCCAACACTAGGTCTTGAGCTCTGGGTCTAGTGCTCTAACTTGGCTTTCTCTATGTTACATATTATATAATATGTACATTATATAGGACCCTTTACGGATTCTGTTACAAATT